AAAAAAAAAAAAAAAAACATAAAAGGCTGAGTGTAGCAGGCTGGAACAAAAATGGATGGTGACCTGGTCACCTGGTCAATCTGACAGAAGCCTTGTCAGCAGCTCAGCTTTCGCCACCTGCTTTTCAGTGCTCTGCCAATGTTCACGGCGCCCTGTCTTGTCCAGCTCGTTCACTCGGCATCCCTTTCCGTGTGGAGCCACTTGGTTTTGACGTGGGAACACTGGCCGTCAATGCATGCACAGGGTGGAAACATGGATCAGTCGAGCGGTATTTTCTGAACCCCGCCTTCTCGTAGCACTTCTTGGCGGGGTCATTTGTCTCACAAAATCTTCTGTTTTACTCCCTCATGGCCCGAGCCTCTGTTCTTGGCATTCGTTTCTGCGGCCTTGGCCCGCAGTCCCCCTAAAGCCTTTGCCTCGATGTGGCCGGTCAACTTTGCAGTTTGCAATCGTCAGAGTCTGCACCGCAAACCTAGCATGCACATACCTGGCGATCTGGGCTGCGTCCATTGACAAGCTGCCAAGCTGAAGGCCGACGTGCGCTCGCCGCTTGCGAGTCGCTCTACGTCACGCGGGCGGTCGTCTGGATTCATTAGCGGGAATGCCGATAAATCTGCAGCGTCTTTTGGCTTCAAACCCTTGCGCGACGGCAGAAATGAATGCATATGGATGCCATTGGCTATGAACTTGTCGCCCTTTGAGCACGGCAGACGCTTGGCACAGTTTCGACAACACATTAGCAGGAATGATATTGGCAATCATCTAAGCTGTTACCGTAATTACCAACTGTACAGTCAGCTGCAACTAGTAATTGAGAGCATGAGACTGCCAAGCTGAAAGCATCTCGGGTTGCACGCAATGCCTACACGCACAGCAGCTACAACCTGGCAACATTTGGGGTTTCTCAAAATTAAGGGTACCTTTTTTGGGGGGTCCTTATGGTTCCCTAGTCCACGGAAACTACCACTTCCATCAACCTACACGGACTCTGAAAGGCCTTCCCGACGCCATCGCAATGGAGGGATGGTATGTCAGAGAGAAGGGCGTCTCCAACTGCACCACAAATGGACTTGCACTTGCACGGTGTGCACGCAACAAATAAAAAATATTACCTACATTATAATATACCATAATATATTATGATGGAATAGCACACCCTATATTATACTATAATATAACATATTCTATCCGAAACTGGCCCACCTGAACCAAGGACAGCTGCTCTCCAAAGGAGAATTCTGGCAGATGTACCGCATACAGCCGGCCGTGGACTGTGATGAAGTAGACCCGCTCACCGAACCTTCAGTTGCTATGTGTACTATAAAGTCTAAACTCCTTAAAAAGGGGTTTGATTGGGGATTATATAGGGAATTATAGGGGTTATTAAGGCAGATACTAGGGATCTGGACTATAGCTCAAATGGAGTCAGTGTGCCGATGTAGTATATACTTAGGGCCCAGAAGAGTTCCCATAGAATTACTTTAGGGCCCAAGTATTATGCCTTTTCTCAGGCTTTTCAAATCTTTGCGAGCATGCTGCATACTACGATGGGTGAGGCTGAAAAAGAGCTCCAAGGAGGGTTTTAGGCTGAAGCTTCGGACTGCTTTGCGGTTTTGGGTTATATGGGGGCTTCGGGTTGTACAGGGTCATAGGTTATGTATACTGAAGGGGTTATATCGGGATGTTATGGGGGGCTATATTGGGGTCCACCAGCCGAAACTGGTGAAGCAAGGACGTTCCCCGCTGTAGCAAGTAGATGGGGGAGCCAATTAGCCAACTGTGGCTCATGGCAATGTCGGCGCTCGATGTAGCTTTGACTCATTTTTGCTCAGGCATGTTTTGGACTCGCTCAAAAGTTTTGCGCCTCCTCCACACAAAAATTAACATCATATACGCAACTACCAAGCGTTGGGAAGCCCAAAGCTTGAGACACCCCTTACAACTTGGCAACGGCATGCGCTAGAGCGTGCTGCTGCCAACAGCATTCCCTAAGGGTCCAAGTACCCAATATTTAGGTACTTGGGATTTGGGTAATAGTAATTCTAGTAAAGGTTTTGGGCAAGTATATGATTATTGGGTACTGGGACCCTTAGGGATTGTTGGTGTTGTTACTGCAGACTGCAGACGCTTCTACAATCTGCCGAGGCCAAAGGCCTGGGGCGTTTAGATCCAGGATCGGAGACTCGGACAGTGTTTGGGGGGGGCAGGAGGTTGGGCTGGCCAGGTCTCGGCCATAGGACCCCCCCAATGCCAGGCAAAAAAAAACAACATGGCCGCAACTTCTCGACCCCTCTGGCGCACTGCTCCTCCATTGAAGCCGCGGAGCACGTCAAGATGCGCGCCCAGGAAGTCACCCAGATTTCGCAGGTCCAGGATCTGCACAGTCGGGTTACCTGCACAGGGTTGTGGCTGCCACGTGACATAAAACCTCGTGATTAAGCTGAAGTGGTCCAAAGGATAATAGCTTCCATGTCCCCCGAAAGGCACGTTGAACCCTCCCCGAGTGTAGGAAATCTTGGCCGTAACCGCGATGTTGAGGTTGCGATACATGACCTTTTCTACCCAAACCGCCGATCATCACAGAGAGTGACACTTATTGTACAGGATAAGGTCTGCACATGGTAGGTACGACGCGCCTCGGCGCTACCAGATTGCATGAGACCCGAGCTGCTTGCCCAAAGATACCAAACTAGTCAACGTACACAAGTACATCGTCCATGTTTAGATTCGAGTGAGTTCAACAAACAATCGCCACTAATCCCATGCACATTAAACATTAGGGCTCGTGATAAGTTAATTGCCCACATCAGCCCCCAACCCGAAGGCCCTCAATCTAAACCCTATGTACTGCCACATAACTACCACAACCACGATACTATGTTTGAGCAAGGGTGCTGAAATTGGTGAGATCGAAGCGCACCGCAAAGCTGAAGAGCTCGGGGACAAGATAGCCAAAACCATCTCAGGGGAAGGGGTTTAGGGTTTAGGGTGTAGGGGTTTAGGCTAGGGGTTTAGGGTTTCTTGGGAATCCTGATACCATTCATGGTACATTCCTTAACTTGCCTTTGGTTAGCTGGGAATAGGGAATGGAAAAGAAAATGGAAAACTACTTTAGTGGGTTATACAGGGACTACTATAAGGATCCATTCCTTCATTCCTAGCTAACCAAAGGTAAGTTAATCAAATGTTTGTTGGGCTCTCTGGGAGCAGGCGACCATTGCGATACTATCTGTGCTTCTCCAGACACCTGGGAGGATCTAAAAATTAGATCCTTTATATGGACCCATGATAACCCCTATATAATCCTTATAAAATTTCCCATGTGGTTCTAGGGGATCTAATCTTCAGATCCCTTTGGGGGTCTGGGTCTCTAGACTCCCGGAAAGGCCTCGCTCTATGCCGGTGCGAAATCCTGCCAGCTCCCTGGGCTCGGGCGCGCTTGCAGCAGATTGGCTTCGGGAGTGGGGGAAGCAATATTGGTACTATATGAGGGTACCTTATGGCACTTTATGGTACTATATGGTACTATATGGTAACTTATGGTACCTTATGGTACCTTATGGTACCTTATGGTACTATATGGTACCTTATGG